CTGGATGAGAGAAGAACAGGTGCAGAGTGCCAACGGGAACAAAAGACAGCAAGAAGGCAGCTCAAAAAGGAGCAGGGTGTCAACAAGTTGGTTGGTTATAGTAACCAGTATGCATATACTGAGGGATCTTCAGCGAGCTTATGGAAAGTGCACACTCTGGAAAAACTATGTGTAACCTTCCATTTTTTGAAATCACAATAAACTAACCTTAAAACCCTGTTTCTGTGATTTCTTAAAAATACCCTTGTATTTTAACATCTATCCATGTACTCTTCCCCCCACTAAAAAACCCAAAATTTAAATAATCTTAATTGAACACAAATAAAAGGGGGATCAAATCTATGACAGACAAATGCAAGTAAAACCTAAGAAAGGATTACAATTTTAATATCAAGCAAGATTTAGTATAAAATAAACAGCAATAAAATGACAAAGAGGTTTATATTTCAAAGCTCAAACCATTCAATAAATGTCTATTACATGCCAGCTAGTTGTACTGGGCAAGGGCATACATTGCTGAAAAATAAGGCTATCATCAGACTGAATATTTATGCTCAAAACAACATAAAATCAAAGCACATCGAGTGAAAACTGTTGAGATCCGTGGAGAAGAGGTCAGAGACACAGAGAAAAGCTTAACCTCTCCGCCTTTTGTAGCACAAGCAAACAAAAGTGTGAATCATAACTGTAGTTAGTTTGATTGGATCTATTATGCATAAATAGTCTGATAAAGAATTCTATTGCTGACAGCTAGAGAGTGCATCTGTTTTTTTTGCCCCCCAGCCACCATAGGATTTGTAGAAAAGTTCATTGCATTAGCAGAATATCTCAATAAATTCCCACAGCAGACACTGTACATGCCAGATTCGCCAAACAATGCAATAAAGTGAGATATAACAAAGCCATAAATTAAATTTTAAAATACTCTCAGAAATAAATCCTTGGTTAGGGATTCAGTGGAAGCCTCAGTCACAGTCTGTTCAGAAACTAATTTGGTTGTGTGAAATAGGGCAGGAGCCCAAAAGGTAGAGTCTTCCTGTTAGGAACCTCATGCAGGCAGGCCTGTAATGGCCAGGCACAGAGGATGGATGGGCTGGGGAGCACATTGGAGGCAACTGGGCAGCAACCAGTATGAGAAAGGACACTGGGGCTAGGGTCCTTTAGATCTGAGTTCGAGTCCTGATTCCAGCTCTGGCTAGCTATGCTGAACAAGTCAATCTTTCTTCCTTATTCACTGAAAAACCAGAGGAATTGAGCTGCATCCATGGTGCTCCGCTCTCCTTAGGTATCACAATCATATGGGAGATTTTTAAGTAACACTGATGCGTGGGCTTTATGCCCAGAGCTTATTGTCTCTATTGCTTCACAAGGCCAAGTCATCAGCATTTTTAAAATGAGCGTCCAACTAATTCCAGGTGCTGCCAGGGTGGAGAACCCAAGGGCCAGGTATTACCTCCCCCACACTGCCCCCCCAACGCCTGCCTGCTGTTCTGAGTCCAGCAGTACTCTAGACACCTGCAGTCTACTCTAGAAGAAAGTTTTCCAAGGCAAGAGCCAGAGACAGCAGTGCAAGGCAATCTAATCAAAGTGCGCATTATCTCAAATGGTGCAGAAAATGCTAGTGCCGGTTAATATTTTGCACCCAACATGATTTAGATCTAGGGCATATATTGTACTCGGAGCCCACTGTCAACACAATGGGCCATTTATTCACTGAACAGTAACCACTGTAATTACCTACAGGGCAAACATATGAGGTTGTTCAAGCAACAATTAATTGTAGACCTGGAACTAATGGTACAATAACAGGAGAATATCAACCAGAGTGTGATTTAGAAATCACATCAGAAAACCAATATTTTCCAGATTGTACTAGATAAGCATTTTGGGGAGATGTGATGGTACATAGAACATCCCAAGTCCTGATATAGTTGCTCCCAGATTTTTCTAATAGCTCCTTCTTATACCAGTGATGGTAGGAGGTAGGCAGTGTTTTGTTATCTTAGGAAAATAAGCATAAGCACTCAATTTCTATTTTTTGCATCTGTTGTGACACTTTAGTATCACCTACATGCAGGTGTGTAGACCCACTTTGGATTGTAGGATCTTTTTTTTACGAATCTAATGGAAACCATAGATCTGTTCTTGATTTTGCAGAAACAAAATGTGCACACCTGAGGCACATCCACGCCCACACAGATTATTTTCCTATGATTTTTGGGGCTTTCGCAGACACCTTGAACACCCTCTGTACTCACCAGGGTGTGGCTCAGCCTTCCTTTGCCCACATACAGGTCAGGGACCTCACTACTTCTAACATCAGGCTTTCCATGGCTGGACAAATCTGAGGGGGAACGTTTGCCAGGGCATCCAGCCGATCATCCATGGCTTCCAGCTTTACCTAGAGCTTCCTAACAGCTCTTCTACCCCTTGAACCCTATCATCTTGAGTGTCCCCACTAAGTGAAAGGCTTCAAAACTGGTTACTGCTGGGGCCCCCTGCAGCTCCAGGCAATGACTGCTTAAAGGTTCACTCCAGTAGAAGGAGGTGGGGTCCTAGTGAGTGGCTTGTCACCCTCTGAGACTGACCAGGCAGAAAGGTACATCTAAGATGCCATCTTCCTGAAGTCTTGTGGTGCCAGGTGGAGACTGGATGGTGACAGAGAAACAGTCACGTGTCTTCAGCTGTGTGGAGTCTGAGGGTAGCAGCATACCACTGTCCTACTACAGTCAGCGCCTGGGGGAGGTCCCATCTAGAGCTGCTGTTGGAAACAGCAAGGAGCCAGAGAGAAAGTTGGTGGTATGCTCCAGTGCAGAGTGAGTGACATTTGGTGGCACTTGGAAGACCCACCTCCTGTAGGAGAGTGCATAAGTCCTGGCTCCATTTCCATCTCTGACATCCTGCTCATGCACTTGCTGGTGGCTCAAGTGCTTGGGCTCCAACTATCCCTGTGAGGGACACAAATTGAATCCTTGGCTCCTGACTTCAACCTGGCCCAAGCTCTGGCTGTTGTTGGCTTTTGGAGTACGAATGAGGGGTAGACTGTGTCTGTCATCTGTCTGTCTCTGTGTGTGTCTTTCTGCCCTCCAAATTAATTAATTAATTAATTAAATGTTTAAAGGTTAAAATAAAAAGAATGGTAGAAGAACAGAGTAGATGAAACCATGGAGAAATTATCAACTCAGAGTACGAAACTGTCTTCTAAATATGACACAAAAATCTGAGACTATAAAGAGGAAACTGATCCATTTGAGTACATTTTAAATTAATATGCTTGTATATGCAGAAGACACCATCAGTAACATCAAGGAAGGAATTGGGGGAAGGAGGGGTTTAGGCTGCTTTTCCCAAAGGGCTCGTCTTCAGGTCAAGCCCACTCTACAGACTGATGACACAGCTCCCAGTTACTCTCCATAGGGAGAGAGTCACCCAGCCTCCCTCACCGGAAGACCAATGCAAATTAGAACCGCAAGCAGAGACCATTTCCTAACCCTCACCCTGCCAAGATCAAAAAAGTTTGCTCACCCCCTCGTGTGGACTGGGCTAAAGGAAAGGAAAGGAGACATCAGATGCGGAGTTCTGGAGGAGATGACATTTAAGCTGGGCCAAGGAGGACAGATCATTAAAATCCAATTTAACAACTAACTGGCACTTAAAAGCAAAAGAAGGAATAATGAGAAAGATAGACGGATCGGACTGCCGAGTGTAAATTAGAACACACACACAGAGACGGGAAAGGCAAACACACTGAGCTATTTGCAGAGACTACAATAACCTGAGTGTAAAGGCTTTCATTCAGTTCAGGGAGGAAAACATAGAAGACCACTAAAAAAATGAAAGACACTAAAAAATCGTTCCTAAAATAGGATCTAGTACTCGTTAACGACCACACGGAAAAGGGCTCCACATTATGTATAACTATGAATGCATTATGATTCGGGGTAATTTTTTTAGTGCTGGTTCATTGTAAAATCAGATAGAAAAATGTTTTATTCCCTCTGTTGACAAGAATATGATGAAATTGGCCCTCTAATTATCCATGACTAGCAGATGTGCAAATTGACTTAAAAAAAAAAAGAATCTCTTTTCAACATAAGTATCAAGTCTTCAGAAACTCATATCCTTCATACAGGAGACTTTCTATCGAAGATTCAACCTTACAGAAATAGCCAGCAAAAAAATGCTGGGTGCAAATACACCTGAGGAATGGTAGGAAAATAAATATGACAAATAATGTGGCATACTGGGAATCATCTAAATGCCCCCAGATTAGAGATGATTTGGTAAATCACAGGCCATTCATATGCTTGCCTGTTATACAGCTATTACAATGTTTTGAAGGAATTTTGAACAGGATGTTAAATGCTTGTAAGATGAGTGGAAGAAGAAAATAGTGTGATCATGAAGATCTCAAGAATCTTATTTTAAGTTTATTTTATGTGTGAGAAAGAGAACAAGACAGAAACAGACAGAAAGAGAGAACACTTCCACTGCTGGTTCACTCCCCAAGTGCCCACACTGGCTGGGGCTGGGCCATGGCAAAGCCGAGAACTCACTTGAGTCTCTCACATGAGTAGTAGGGACCCAAGTCCTTGAGCCATTACCACAGCTGCCTTTTAGGAGTCAGGAGCCAGAACCAGAAACAAAATCCCAACATTGCTTTGTGGGTCATGGGCTTCCCAAGCAGCATCTTAACCAATAGGCCAAACTCTCACTGTGTGAAAATCTTCTGTTTAAGAGATGACATCGCAGCAAAGAAAAAGGACTGGATAGAAATAGACTGCTTTGACGGTGGTTCCTTGCAGATGGTTCCAACATTCCTTGACATTGGCTAATGTCATCCTTGCTTCCCACTTTGTGTTTTCACTTGCTCTTTGGTGATGAGGTGTTACCTTTCCAATGGCAAAGTGGAGACATTACCCTGTCCCACACGTGTGTGCCCCGGGTCAGACAGGCAAGGTTCTGCCAGTAAAAGGTGTTCTCTTGGCTCTGTTTTCCAGCTCTCCTTTGCTGCAACCACACCTGTGCTGGCTGACAAAAAGAAATATCCTTATTTCTTCCGGACTGTGCCGTCTGACAACGCGGTAAACCCCGCCATCCTGAAGCTGCTGAAGTATTACCGCTGGAGGCGCGTGGGCACACTCACCCAGGATGTGCAGAGGTTCTCTGAGGTACATGCTGGGGCCCTGTGATCTGGCCCAGGGGGCACTGCCATGGGGTATCTTGGCTTCTGGGTGGGACAAGATACACCAGAGCTGGTGCAGAGGACTGGGTCCCTGCAACAGGTGCAGCTCCATCTCAGATGGCTGAGAGCACCGTTCCTCTCAATGACAGGCAGGAAAAGTATAGCTTTGACCAGTCTCCCTAAGGTCCACCTTCCCTCCAAGGGCATTCCTGCATCCAATCAGGTGTCTGTATACCTGAAACTTTGGCACAGATCCTGTGGGTCTTTCTGACTTCTTCCCATCACAACTCACACTTTTGTGCCCTGCTGTACATCTCAGCAATACAGATCTAGAGGTACAATTGCTACTTTTATGATTTTTTTTATTCATTTTTATTTTATTTGAAGGACACACACACAGAGATTTTCCATCTCCCCAAATGCTTACAACAGCCAAGGTTGGGTCACACAAAAAAGGCAGGAACCGGGCCCGGCACGGTGGCACAAGTGGTTAAGGTCCTCACCTTGCATGCCCGGGATCCCATATGGGCACCAGTTCTAATCCCGGCAGCCCTGCTTCCCATCCAGCTCCCTGCCTGTGGCCTGGGAAAGCAGTCGAGGACGGCCCAAGGCTTTGGGACCCTGCACCCGCGTGGGAGACCCGGAAGAGGTTCCTGGCTTCAGATTGGCATAGCATCGGCCGTTGCGCTCACTTGGGGAGTGAATCATCGGATGGAAGATCTTCCTCTCTGTCTCTCCTCTCTGTATATCCACCTTTCCAACAAAAAAATAAAATAAATCTTTTTTAAAAAAAGGCAGGAACCTGGACTCAATCTGGGTCTCGCCTGTGAGTGTCAGGGAACCCAAGTATTTGAGTCATGCCCTGCTGCCTGCCAGGGTGTGCATTGGCAGGAAGCTGCAAGTGGAAGGAGGTCTGGGACTCCACCTCAGGCACTCAGACATGGGCTGCAGAAACTCCACAGTGGTATCTGAACCATTGCTCATCCCAACAGTCATTTAACGTTTGGAGAGCCAAAGAGCTGTTGCCCTTCCTAGTCCTGCCAACAGCGTGAGGAGCTTCCCATCTCAGGGCAGGTGTTGGGCCCAGCAGGAAAGCCACCAGTTGAAATGTGCCAAAGTGTACCAAAGTGCTTGGCGTTGAGTTCTCACTCTGCTCCTCACATCAGCTTTCTGTTAATGTGAACTTGGGAGGCAGCGGGTGATGGTATAGGTCCTTGGGTTCCTGACAGCCAGGGAGGAAACCTGGATTAAGCTCTCAGTGTTGGCCTGTCCCTGTCTCTGCTGTTGCAGGCATTTGGGGAATGAACCAGAAGACAGGAACATATTCTATTACACTTGTTGTCTTTCTCCCCCTAAAAAAAAATAAACATTCTGAAATTCAGAAAGTCCCTATGTGTCCACATATTGTTACTAAATGGATACTAGTGAACTTGAAAATGAAACTAGTGAACTCAGATGAGTGCACAGATGGTCTTTTGTCTTTCCCTCCTGTTTGAACTAAGTCTTAACCTTTTTTTTCCCAACATGCTGTTGGTTGAACCTCCTAAGTAGCAAGACATTGCAGGTGTGCCCAGCCACCGAAGGGAAAGCATGTGCCAGCAGCATCAGGAATTGCCACACATGAGCCAGGGGTGCAGGCAACCTCCCCCACATGAGTTCCTGCTAGCCAAGGGCAGGAAAGGCCAGGTGAGGGTGGTGACAACGAAGGGAGCAGCCCAGGGCTGGGATTCCCCAGATGAAGTGTCTGGTCCAACTCTGCATTTAACCTTCAGACCCTTGGAAGTCTCCTCCCTTGTCCCAGCCGTGATATCCTCCCCTGTACACAAAGTGGGGATACGAACACAGACACACAAACTTACACACCCTTTGCAGGGATTTTGCCAAAAGCCCAGGGAGTAATGGACTTGAAAAAACCATGCAAATTGCCGAGTTCATGCACAAACAGCAATGTTTTAGGGGAGGTGCCTAAATAGCGGTAGTGCCCACCACTCCCCCTCCCCAATCATAGTCAGTTATCCAAACCAGGCCAGCATCCTCAGACAAAACAGGCTCCTCCTTTCTCTCTTCCCAGCCCCTGGGGGAGGAAAAAGAGGCACAAAGGAAACTTGACCTGGTGGGAGTGACTCATTGACAACCACGGAGGAGGATGCTGGCAGACTCATCTGTGGGCAACCACAGGTGTTCTCAAGGAGCAGGACATGGGTGTGTAGCAGGAGGTACAGACAGACAACCCTGTTAAAACTGGACCTTGCAGTAATTGGGGAGGAGATGCTGTAATAGCATCTATGGCTGCAAGCACCTCTGCCAACCTTGTTATGGTAGCAAAGGAGAAGCAGATATGCAGAGAGGGGAAAAGACAGAGTTCAGGATCTGAGTGTGTGTCTGCAGTCATGGAAGATCATCCACAGAAAGGTCAGGTGTGGTGGTGCAGGAGGGAAAGCCTTTGCCTACAGTGACTGCACCCCATATGGGTGCTGGTTTGAGTCCTGGCTGCTCCACTCCTGGACCAGCTTCCTGCTAATGCACCTGAGATAGTAGTGAAAGATGACCAAGTGCTTGGGTCCCTGTACCTACACCCATGTGGAGACCTGGAAGAAGCTCCAAGCTGCCAGCATTGGTCCGACCCAGCTCAGGCCTGATTGTTGTAGCCATTTGGGAAGTGAACCGATAGATGAATGATTTCTTTCTCCCTGTTCCTCTCTGTAACTCTGTTTTCCAAATAAATAAAAAGAAAGGGGGAAAAAAACCACTTCAGGACCAAATTCCAGTTTGCAAATCCCAGTTTAGAATGCCCATCATTCTTTCCATCCATAGCTTCCTGGAGTCACATGGGAATACCCATACCTGCGTACAGACTTGAGATGGAAAGTACCCATCAGCTTGGTCCAAGGAGGATATATGATCAGCCTTGACAGTGGCTAAGTGCTTTATGGTTCTCCAACACTCTGGCGGCTGCCTTATAGGGCGGGGTAACTGTTTCCAAGTGCGGCAAGGTCAGCTGGTCTGCCAACCAGCACTCTTCAGGCCCCTGCATATACATACAGCTGCGCTAAGTCTCTCCATGCTCGGGTTCCAGGACTCCCCTCATCCCGAACACAAGATGCTGCCAGTCAGGACACCTCTGGGTATCAGTGTCTCAGCCAAACTGACTCCTCTTCGTGCCCAGGGGCCTTGGCATCCCTCTCCTGACGTCTGGACTTTCTCATTGGAGAGCAGGCCCTGGAAACCCGCCAGGGGCTAACAGCTTTTCATGACTGTAAAGGAAACTGGATTCGTTTTATGAAACTGGTTGAGGAGCCACGGCCAGCTGCACTTCTCTTCCGTGCAGCTTCACCGGAGAGATCAGGCCTAGAACCAGAGGGGTCGGGGCTGCACCTTTATCCTCCGACACTGGGCAGGAGCAGAGGAGGCCTGGGGGTTCTTCCACTGCAGAACCAGCTGTTCCTGCTGAGATTCCAAGCTAGTGTGGGGTAAGCCAGAAGATGCTTAGGGCTGGGACCAGATGCACTGATGTCCCGGCCCAGCCTGGCTGAGTGATGGCAAAGGTGTGGTTTGCCTGTATGTGGGGAAGGGAAATCTTCATCTCCAACTCCTAGGAAATGGGAGCACAAGATAAGAAAGCTGCTTGGCACCCACCATGCCGAGGTGACCTGTGAACTGGAACTCTGAGACAAATGCCAGGGAGGAATACCCATGGCCTCCAAAGCGAAGCATGGGTCCTACCCTGCCATAGTGTGAGCCTAAGATGAGAGGAAGCACCTAGGCATGGTGGGTGCCAGGCTTCCTATACTACCCACTCAACGCCAGCCACTCACAGATGTAGCAGACAGGCACGTTTTAGCTCAGGTTTTTGTTTTGGATTCGAACTCCTGAGTTGGAATTTTTTTTTCCTTTTTTAAAATTTTCTTTCTAGCAACTTTGTTGAGCTGTGGTTGACCTACCACGCAGTTCATACATTGTTAGTAAACAGTCAGTTCTGATATTTTAAATAAACATACACAGGCTTGCCCTAAGCCCAATTTGAAATCCTTCCAAAACTACAGAAATTCCACTGTGGCCATTTGTATTCAGTCCCACCCCACTCCCTACCCCCTAGCCCCAGCTTCATGTGTTTTCTCTACAATTCTTTTTATGGAAGCCTTGTATAAATAGAATTATACCCCAGGTAGTGTTTGATAGTGAGGCAGTGTTTTGAGGTAGCATCAACCTTGCTGGGTGGATTGCTAGTTTGTTTGTTTATGCTACTGAATAGTATTCCCCTATGTGTTTGGAACACCTTTCAGAGTCACCCAGGGAGCCTTAGTGATGCAGAAGCCCAGGCCAGCCCCGTAGATTCACTCCAGGCTCAATACATGGGTGCTACTAAGCATTCGCATTCTTGACCTTCAGTAGTTGGCTCCTAGTCAGGGGTTCGGGGTGGAAACTATGTCCCCTTGTGGCAGAGTGCTTCAACTTGCAGTAGCACCTGTCCACCTGGTGGCCTACCTGCCCTCCCTTGGCCTGTCTGGCCACTGTGGATGGGCAGGATGAAGCAAGTGGAGAGAGACCTTGCTCTGGTGTGGAGCTCCCCCAGATGGGAAACAGCTGGGTGTTGATAAAGGCGTTCTATAGAGGTGTGGTCCACAGTGGAGATTGACGGGGTGAGCCTAGCAGGGGATTAGAGCTCTGAGAGACCATTGGGAAAACTAAGGCCAAAGCCGGAGCTGGAGGAGGAGCATGGGAACTGGAGGCCAGACTGTGGTTATGTGCCCGCAGCAAAGCATGCAGCCTAGTCACTACAGCTGGGGGCGTCCAGGAAGCAAGAGGCCAGAGAACTGTGTGACATTGGCCTGGTCACTAGGCTCAAGGTGGATGTCCAGGTGGAGAGCTATCCCCCACTGAGGAATCTACACTAACAGGTCAGGTGTACACCCATCTTGCACCTGCTGTGGGCTTGGATGAAGGTATGGTGCTGGGGGTACATTCACCAGCACAGTATCACACAGG